TTCAGCCCCGTAGCTTTTGCCGGCCTCGAGATGAAAAATCGGTACAGACGAACACACAGACACACAAACACACACACACACGCACAGACAACCTCTCGTCAATATGCCTTTTCTGCATTGCACAGCTGCAAAAAACGCATAAAAACTAAAATACAGTAGTTTTGAAGAAACGGTCACAGCATACTACAACAGCACATCGCGGGATTAATGCATTAGTTCGCAGTGCCTTTGAAGGAGAAGCCAAAGCGCGGCGCTGTTTATGATGCTTGCGAACTTTCCGACAAAATCAGCATTAACGAGTTGCAGAAGTTTGCGGTCGCCTGCGCATGATCAGGAACTATATGCTAGGAATTTCAAGCTTTTAGTTTTGTAGTCCTAAAGTGCATCACCTGATGGGGGTCTTCTGATGATTCTGCCTTCTGCGTTGCACTGCTACTGCACTAGTATGCTGCAGCCTGTGCTGGTCAAAGATTCGATCGAATTTATGTACTTTCTATTTCCCCGCAAAACTGGCAACAATGTATTAAGTTATGGAAACACTGAAGGAATGTAGGGTAAGGAAAGAGGTTCTTAGCTGTCCTTGATCCAAACTGCAAATAAGCGTTATCAGTAGACAGCGCTTCAAACAGTGTTTAAGATGAGTAAGCGTATAATAATATGGAAAACGGTGACGAGCTTGCAGAAAACGAGGAAGTTTGAAAAAATATAAGTGTAAAAAAGATCGAAATAGAGTATCTGGTGAAATGAGCCGAAACCTCAAAAGCTTTTTCATAATCCCATCAAACAATCGTTTATCCTAGGAATTAAAACTTAATAAGTACAAAAAAACCCGGAAAGCAAAGCTCTATTAAAAAGCGAACTGCCCCTCATTTTCTGAGTTACTAGCTTTTTCCTCTCCGAGGTCGTAAGTTATTGGACTCTGAAGATAATTCAGTTTGCACTGTGTAGCAAATTTAACACCGAAAATGTTGAATTCACAATTTTTTTCATTCATCAAATACTAATTTGACATGAAGGGTCCGAATTCACACAAAGAAAACAAGAGAACTGTGAAGAAGCGTTACCATAACTGCGGTACCACAAATGGACGAAGCTTTATTTCTCGGAAATTTCAGTTTCCTAGCTTTAGTTATTTTTAAGTTGAATTATGTAGTTATACACACACAACCACTGAACTGAAGAAGGACGAAAGGGTTTGCAATGGAAGACAGCGCAGCTCTATTCTTATGTCTGAACTCGGAAGTTCAATGTCGCTAGTGGAAAATCAGTCAGTATGCGATTCGTTTCAGTGCAAATTTGTACTAATGCATGCTAGAACAAGACAGCCTTCATCAGCTTGCTGTCAAAATGGTTGCAAAAAGGAATTCATCCAAAGCCTTGCTATTGGCAGGAGCGCCTCAGCTCCACTCAGAGCAGCTTTCTTCGATTCAGTTGAATTTTGTACAGGAATAAGGAACAATTTTTAATTTAATTTTTCAAACACAAAGCATTTCCTCTAATCACTAACGTTTATTACTAATCCACAACGTTCAGCCACGGAAAATTGTACGTAAAGCAAACATTTGCATAATGTGCTGAGAAAGAAGCAGGCCAGGAATGGAAAATTTGCATTACCTAAATCAATCTAAAAGATGTGACGACAGAGAAGTGAGGGTGGCAACAATTTGAATGACAGAAATCTACATATGGATTTCAGGACAGAAATCTGCATTAAGCGCATTTGTTTGGTCATGCCTCATCGTGTCGGTTACTTTCTCCTTTTTCTGCTTTTCCTCATCGATCTAGCTTGCCCTCGTTAGGAGCATTTTTCCACATCAGGATGAGACAGGAGGGAGCATGAGGAAAGAAGGGAGTGAAGCCAATCCAATAATTCAATAACGGCTGAATACGTGAGTTTTAGCCCCATCAGATCTTGTTAGCCTGATTTTTGTAGTACCAGAGGTAAAACTTAACGTTTAACTTTTCGAATTTCAAATGCTGCTAGCATCAGCTTCGGATTATTAGCAGTGGAGCTTATGTTGTTACGGCAACCGCAGCATTCAAGTGCAGCTATGCCAGAAATTCCTGGCTTATTTGTCCCAGCTCTTATCCACGCTTAGTAAGTGCAATTAGGCATTTTCTGCGTGAGCGATTTCTTTCACTTTTGTTTTGCCTCACATAAGTAAGAAAATTAATAAAATATCTGAAGCACTGGAAGATGACGTGTATATTGCGGGATTTTGCGGAAATACTCGAGATCGCTCGATGATTTGTAATTCAAACTGGTTTTCACATCCCACAACTTTTCCAGTTGCACTGACCAGTGCTACGTCGGTTGATTGATAGCCTGCGCTAGCAGTACTGCATCGGTTGATGGTCAACCTGCATATGGCAAACTGTGACGTCGGTTTGATTATCACGAGTTTCTAGACTTGCAGATTGATAAAAATTTCTTGTGATTTCAGAAGAGCGAATATGTTGAGCGTAGCACGTGGCCTCCTGCGACAACGAGGCGCATTTATTGCCACACGTATAATTCTGCAGCGAGAAACCTCAACACATATTGCCGATTACGTTATTGTCGACCACACGTATGATGCTGTTGTCGTGGGCGCTGGTTCGCTAATACAAAGTTTTCTGTTTATTTCCATACCTAAGCTACGCTGCAGACGAGGGAAGGAAAACGGTGCATAGTCATGTATTATGAGGTTTGATACTAGAAACGCTCCGGTTTCTTGGTGATACGCTACGAACACGAAAACTGTCATCCTAAAAATGCGCTGGAACGATATTTTAAAATGGCTGAAGTCTCGTTAAGCGCATCGTCGGAAAAACCGTTGAGCTCATAACCCTTTTGGAAGCAAACTGTGCTTCTCACAGAATAGCAGCGCGTAAGAAAAAAGCTTGGTTAACGTGATGCATGCTGTTAAGAAGCTGCAGAGTCAAAAAAAAATGGAATCTCCCTTTTTATGCGTTTTTGTTGTGCAGCGCTATAGCGCTGCTACAGCCAGCAAAAACGCATATTGTC